TAACTGAGCTTTTAATTTTTGAGGACTGGGCCTGAGGGCACTTTACCTCAATGGGGGGCTTACTTTGTCTCTGAAATGCCCTGGACTTTGGGGAGAGATTTTGCAGAATTCTGATGGTCAGAAAACACCTCATTAATTCATTTAGTCTGAGACCGACTGCGGTGAGCATTTTTTTGGGACCGACTATTTTTTGCCATGGGGTGAAAAACATTTTTTCAAACATAAGTCGACAAGGTTATTTTATACTTAAGTTTTGCATGAGTAGAGTGACGTGTGCAGTGAGCACTTATTTTGATACCGACTGCTCATATCTTACGACCGACTGCACTGATTTTGCGACCGACTAGTATTTGGGATCTATTCTGGCATTATTTGTTTACCTCATTAATTCATTAAGACGGTGATGCATAATTTTGAGACCGACTGCAGTGACTGCACTTATTTTGAGACCGACTATTTTTCTCCCTGGGGGAAATTTTGTTCTTAGACCTACATACTCACAACAGAATAAGAGTGAAACACATTAAGTTGACAAGGTTATTTTATACTAAAGTTTTGCGTGAGTAGCGTGACGTGTGCAGTCAGCACTTATTTTGATACCGACTGCTCTTATTTTGCGACCGACTGCACTGATTTTGCGACTGCTCTTATTTTGCGACCGACTGCACTGATTTTGCGACCGACTATTTTTTTTCCTGGGGGGTGTACCCCCCCCCCCACATTTACGCCCCTGTGAGCAAGTCCCCAAAAAATACAATGAATTACCAGCAGTATTACCTCAACTTTGATACAGAACATAGAAACTAAAATGCGTATGGATGAACAAATTCGCTATAATTTCGTAGTTTTATGTTATGTTAGACAACATAAACTATTATCTCTCACAATCACATTACATTTTTGGCGTGTCTTTGGATTTTTTAAAACATAATTTATATTCTTAAAAGCTGAATACACGTAGAGCTTCAGGACCGGACTCATGCCACATCAATTGTGGCTATTCACGAATTAGTCTAGTCTGGAATTAGTCTAGACTGAATTATTGGCGAATTTTAAAATTAATCCACCCAAATGATTTGAAATGTAATCTCCATAGACCTTTTGGGGGACACTTTGAACATGCCATGCCTCTTAATTGATACGGACTAGCTTATCAATTAAGACAATTTATTTTTTCCAAGAAAATATACTGATGGCTCCAGTGTGCTTCTCGGGTTTATGTTATGTTATTGATGTAAGTTTTCATTTTAAAAACAATAATAATTTAAAATATTAAAATTTAATTTTAAATATGCCTATAACAATACACATTTGAGCCTTTGATTTTTTCCATAAACTGAAGTTAACCATTAAAGCTTACTAGAATAATATTTTGATTTACTGAATGATATAAAATAAGCGATATGACATCCTGTAATGCTACGGAAATAGATATGTTATTTATATATTGAAATGACCCATCGCTTAAAGATGTATTATGTATAATTTAGATAGAGAGCTGACAGTTCTCGGTATAATAGTTAAAAATAGATAATAAAAAGCAAATATGTTGAAAATTTCAGTCAAATCACTTCATTCTAGGCGATGTTATCTTTGATTGCAGAACAGTGTAGTCACGCTTGTCATTGCGTACTGTTGTTACGATAATAAACAAAATCTTGATTATCCATTTTACATGTAAATTAAATCATTAATCTAGAGCACCGGGTGTTGATTATGGTATTAGCAAGTTAATATAGGTCTTATTAATAAATTGTATAACATTTAAGGCCCAAAGAAAGACCTGCAATGGACAGATTCGCCCTTATATAATGCTTGAATCTACACGATGGAAAGTACCGACAGTAGTGGGGTGTATCTAGCTTACCAAATTAGGCAATAATCCCATCTAATTTTCACGGATTCCATGCATATTTCTGCCATTAAGTTAACCAATCAAGTACATGTAATTAGTATCTGTGGTGTATTAGCCTTTAAAATAGAGAGGAACACGACAGAGATCAGATATAGTGAATGCATCCTTATCAAAATTGGTCAACATCCAAGTTTGCTTTTCAGATAAGCTGATGTCAAGACATAGCTGCTGTGCGGGCGTATTTCTATGCTTTGCGTGGCTTTCTGGTTTATCTCTTGCCATCCCAGACAGCTACAATATGCAATGTGAACTACCGTTAATAATAGATCACAAAAACTGTGCAGTCGACAATAGCTGCTATATTACGGAAGCATATAACTACCATTCGTAATACTGCTTTTCAACCCTTCAGAACGCGACAGTCGAAAAAGTAGAAGTTACGACAAAATGTGAGGCGACAGCACGCTACACAAGCCAAAATGGACTCAAATAAAGATATATACGCGCCACGTTAATAGCACCCCTCGTTTTATCGTGTCTTCTTCTCTTCGACTTGTTTTCAGGCGTGGTTCTCCTCGTCAGTGATGCAGGACGGAGGGCCTGATAAGGATGGTCCGAAAAACCGAGGTCCCGTGTACACATTGGCGTGCACGTAAAAGACCCCTTGATACTTGGAATTCGATATAAGAGTTGGCCGTAGTGTCGCTGTCCGGGCAAAATTTCCCTCATAGCACACTGTATGGCGCATGCCCGTCTTCATTAGCCCAGTTCGGAGCAGAACAGTAGGGCCCCATTTTATTTCATTTTCATTTCTCTTCGACTTGCATTTTGGCTTGTATAGCGTGATGTCGACTTTTGATTAATGCTAGGTTTCCACTGTCGTGCGATGTGTTAGGATAGCATTGTCCTTATTGAGTCCACGATCTGGTACGTGCAGATACTTTCGGATACGTTTCGATACGATCGAAACGATTGCTACGACCGACCACAATATGATTAGACCTGATAGGATCACCACGATTTCAATCGTGGCGCGAATAGTGATAGTGGGAACCTAGCATTAGTCATATTTTTGTATTTATTCACGTCAGTAAGAGGGCGAAGTTGCCAAAATGCAACTGGAAAAGTAGAATAACACGCCGCGACATTAGCAACCTATCATTTTGGCTTGCTGTCGATTTTTCGTGTTTTGCAACGGAAATTGTTGTAGTCTCTACATTCCGGATCACATTTGCATTCGCGCAATACGCGTTAACGAAATGGTCTGTGTGATAAAATCTAATATTGATGGCTGTCATTTACGAGAATCTTAATAATGGCTTGCAAGGTCAAAAAAAAAATTATGCTAAATTGACAATCGTGTCTTGTTGAAATAACTTTAATTCGTAACATTTTTACGGTCACTAAAGTTTTTTATCTGTGACATAGACAATGACCTTTGATCAGTCCGTCCACAAAATAAAGTTTAGTGAGATTATAATCGAATTAAACGGTGATCATACGCGTCTAAATTCAGATATAAAGGTCGTGTGATCGCTTGGTTAACTGACTTTACGAGAAAACAATAGTATCATTCAGTCATGCCTCGCTGATTTCTCGCCTTGGGCAATCGCGCGAGTCTTCTATTTTATAAACAAAGTAGTTTACCGTCGTCTATACGTGTAATCAGAAATCTGTATTATGTGGCCCAAAAACTCATGAAAGATGTGAAAACACATACACACGACAGTTCGACATGATGTATATAGTAGTACATTGTGGGCATCACGATCATGACCTGGTTTGATTACTGGTGACTTTCTTTCTACGTGATCTGAGAAACCCCGGATTCCAACCTGTCTAGTTAATTTATTAGCTTACCCGAGTTTCCGTACCCTCTGTAAGCAACAGAGGCCGTGAATATGTATTACGGTTGTGTCAATACATGTACTAAGAAACACGAAGATGATTGGGCGGTGATATTATTGGTAAAATGCTAAGTAATATTTAGAGAGATTGCGACTTCGTCTACTTAGTGATCTGAGTTGAGTTGGCTAAATTTGATCATCGTTGGAAACACCTGGAAAAGTGATATTTCAAACCAACGCAAAGACATATTCTGTTAAATTGGATCTTTAGAGTTTATTAAATCTTTACGTAATGGATATATTATACATGATCTGGTGACTTTTTCACGATGGCGTTTTTTCTGTTGCGTCCAGGTAAGTTTATTTTAATATATTTACCTGTTAAATTCAAGTTTTACTGGATTCAAGGAGAATAGAAAAGGATATATTTTAAATCTGACACATATTATCCCACAAGAATTGATTACGTAATTTACCCATTTTAAACAATAATGTTAAATGGACAATTTATTCCTAATTCAGAAATAAAACCCAATGAAAATACGTGTTTCTACCTGGGGAATATCCTGGAGATAATTACCCGCTAAAACTTTGGATTTGGGTTTGTTTTTTATGAACACTTTCTAATTAAAAATAAGACAAAAATAATACATTTCTGCACCAATCAGGATATTGTAGACAGTCATGCGCCATGCGGTTGTTATGAGGGTAATTTTGCCCAGAAAGCGGCGTTTCTGCCTACTGTTTACCGAATTCTTATTGTCAGCAGAATACGGGGCCAGGAGGTCTAGCGTTCGATCGCGATGTTGACCGAGAAAGTTGCTGGGACTTTCCAGTTTTGTTTCTCCTTGTCAGTGGTGCAGGACGCAGTGCCTGGCAAGGGAAAGCGTCTAGACGTTTGGATTGTCCGAAAATCCTCGGTTCTTTGTACACGTTGGAGTGCAAGTAAAAATACCTTGGCAGCTGAAATATATACTTCTTTCCATGCAAACTTTCCCTCACAGCATAGTACTTTATAATCGAGAATAAAGTTTTAAAATTCTGTTCAGCAATGTACGAATTTTAAACACCCGAAATACAATATAGATTGAAAAAGCAGATGCTGTAACCGTTTCCATGGATATTGAATTGGGCATCACTAGTTAATAGGTCACAAAATTTTATTGTAATTTCGTATATTATACATTTAATCCATACATCGCCGATCGTTACTCTTTTTTTTTAAAAAAAAGAAGATATAATGTGTATGTTTCTTTTTCAGTGTTGCTGGTAGCGTTTACCAATGTTCTGTCTTTTGATATTCCATCAGTTACAATACTTCCCATTACCAATCAGTTTATAAGCGGTAGAGACATTAAACTTAGGTGCAAAGGAAGTAATTTCCAGAAAGGCGCCAAATTGGTAAGTTAGTGAGTGCCCTGGGAGCTGTATTTGATCTGAGCAGCAGTGACTTAGTAAGATTCTCTATGACACCCCACCCACCCGCATGGGTAAATGGGGTAGGGTATATATAACTATTAATTTAACAGGTGTAATAGGCCAGCCTACTATATTTAAAATGTTTCAATGCCTAAGAAATGTTAATTGTGATTTTATGTTGTCTAAGGTAACTTGAGGTAATTTAAGTAATAATAATCATTCTTCTATCTTTTCCGTACAAATCATACCATTTGCTATATAATTTTCTGTGAGTGCTGAACGAGATTACAACATGTCTTTACTGTTAGTCTCACTATAGTATCCTCCACCTACAAAGTTATGATCTTGGCCAATTTTCACAACCTGTTTGCTGGGTTACTGTCCCTTAGCATTCGATGGTCGATAACGTATACATTTTTGCGCGTTATCGCTGTTATCACATCCTTGTAATAACTCTCTGGTATAGATACTTTGGAATTATTGCCCTTGAAATCGAAATCTTTGAACAAAAGTTGGGGAGCAATTATTTTCGAAGCGCTAAACATAAACATAGATATAACATTTCTATAAAGACAAATTCTAGAGCAATTAAGGTGGTAGTGGTTGTATGTTTGGTTATCTGATGCCCTATGTTTCTTTCTTAAAGAGATATCTGTGAAATGTTTGACCATTGAGAAGCTCAAAATCAAAGTACTAAAAAAACGGTCTCCTGTATCGCCTTTTTAGTCTTTAGATTTATTTTAAAATTACACGGGGTACAAATCATGTGTATAAACATTTTCATTCCAGATTGTATTTAAACGGCAATACAGTCCTTTCAAATCTGTTCCTATATCAGAAAGCAGTGCATATAAGTTGAATGTACAGCCAACCAAAGATACAGACGTGACACTTGTGTTGACTATACGTAAAGTAAAATATTCAGACTCCGGTGATTATAAATGCACCGTCAATGATAGTTTTAATGAAGGCAGCGAGACGATAACTGTTCAAGTTGAAGGTATGTTTTACATTGGTTGATATTTGATTATTTTCAGCATAAAAGTTCAATCGTATGCTTCTTTAAAAATCACGCGTACTTATTTAAATACATCCCTTTTAACGCAGTCTTTTTTAGTAGAATCATAAACGAAGCTTATACAGCCTAATCAGGTCAGCCGGGAATCCTCGGTTATTTTCGTAATCTTATATTCAAATATCTCTGTCGCGCTAGTCAATGTTGTTATTTTCTGTTTTCGTTGGTTTTTCAGGTGTGCCAGAAATAAGTAATGATGGAAATGAAGATGTAGAGGGTATTTTTGGTAATCGATTAGAATTGATTTGCTCAGCTAAAAGTTATCCTCCACCACTACACATCAACTGGCTGAATTCTAATGGTAAAACAATAGAAAGTTCGAATGAGTGAGTAGACTGTAAATATATTCGTTTGCAGATACATAGGATCTTCAAAGTTTTTAAATTGTTTTAGGTATATTCTAGATATTATGATGGGATTTTCGAGAAATATTCATTTTTTATGCACGCATTTTCGTGTGGACGTATTATGTCATCGTCCCGTTCAGGCGTCTTTTCGTATGTGTTTGACACTCGACGGGCCATAATTTTATCAAACTTTAACAAACCTTAGAATATTGGTAAGTCCTATCAAAATAAAGCATTCTGAAGATTATAATGCCACCACCAAATTGTAACTGAATTTATCCTTTGTGTTTCTTCAGATGTCTCATCGATGTGAACCAAGAAGACTTCTCTATTCGACACCAAGCAGTATTAATTATGTATTCTCTAACAGAGAATTTACTGGGGAACTACACATGTCAGATTACTAATATTTATGGTACAGCTGAAAGAATATTCAATGTTAGCGGTTAGAATTGTTTGACTTATTGTGCACTTAGGCATTTTGTTATTGATCATCACTTATTATCTATCATACATGTATGATATATATCGGAATTATCATAATTGTTGCCAGTGTTAAATAAAGTTTAATTTATTAATATGTGCAGGGCTGAAATTTCCTTTAACTGGTTACCGGGTTAAAAATTGAAGTTAACGAGTTAATATGAGTTAATTATCAAAGCTCCTGAATCAGGGTCATTTTTGTATTCAACCCATTTCAGATAGTAAACAAAAACTTATTCTTGGTCATTATTTTTATTCTGGACTCCAAATCAAGGATTTTGGTGGCATTTAGACGGGAAACCTTTTTTAAAAAAATCAAATTTGGTGCCTTCGACCTTGATCCATGATTCCGAGTGGGAGACTATGGAGACCAAGTTATTTCGCCCGGAGATGTGCGATCCGGCAGACGTAACTAAAGCGACAGTGGCAACGTGGTCTCTGAATAATATATGTCATGAATTAGGACCTTTCACTGGTCTGTATAACTATTTTCGAGTCGAATATGGGTATATGACGTCACAGAGTGTTAACGCGTTAATTCATTTCTATTAACGCGTTAATCTCATTTCTATTAACGCGTTAATCTCATTTCTATTAACGCGTTAATCTCATTTCTATTAACGCGTTAATCTCATTTCTATTAACGCGTTAATCTCATTTCTATTAACGCGTTAATCTCATTTATACGTTAACTAGTTAATAAGTTAACTGCTCTCAGCCCTGTATATATGTATATACAATCCAACTCTCACTCCGTTAATTAAATATTTAGATTTGAGCAAATATTTTAATCTGAGAATTTTCTTCGTGGCCCTGCTCTCAAACAGATCCTATTATTGTTGTATGCCAATAAAAGTACGTACCCTTTTATGCATCATTTGAAACTCCTGCTGCATACGTGAAAAACTACGAAGACCCATTAGTGTCAAACAAAACAAAATAATGAAAACTTGAAATATTTTTGTTATAGCTAAACCATCTTTAGAAATAATTGAACCAGTGATTGACAGCACAAAATATTTTATTGGCGACAACATCTCTATTAGATGTCGATCTATAAATATTCCTGAAACACCAAAAAAGGTAATATGAATTTCTATCATTATATAACAATAATACATATCCTCTGTCCCCATGTGTATAATGAAGGATTTCCTAGTTTATAATTCCTTATATATCAATTTTAGTATTTAATTGTAGGGATAAGCCAGTCAACACCCCAACACGCCTAGACTTTAAGTACATTATTTAAATCACTTCAGCCCAGAAAGTATTTAAATGCATCAATTCTGACTTACTTTATTGACACATAAACTTTAATTTGGATTCTATTGGTTTCACCCCGCCGTTTTACTCTGAGTTAGACACATATAGTATATAGTAGTAATAAGTATTGACACTTCCTGGGCTACATTTAGACCTTCATGTTGTGTACTTCTTTAAATAGATCAAACTTGGAAAACTTATGTTGTTATATAAGGTCATTGTTTATATATGAAGTACAGGAAACTACAACATCTATGATAGTAAATAATTTCTACACCCTGAGTTTAACACGCCTAGAACTCAGACCTAACGACTCAACACACATCTTGTCTCTATTCCGGCCTCTAAGTCGAGGCGGCTGTGTGGATATGTTCTTCTAAGAACCCCGCATGACGTCTCTATACCAGCCCAAGCCAGATGCTGTGGTTACGCCCTTCTGAGAATACCGAATGATGTCGTTTGCAAACTCTAAGCCGAGGCGGATAATGACACACGCCTCTCTAGGAACGCCGTATATTATGTCTAAAAGAACCTTAATCGCACTCTTTCTTATGAAGAGGATACGTACATGAGTCATAGACTGACCTCCGGGAAGTTTGACAGGTACTTCCTTTATTTGATTGGTCACCTGCACAGAAGCTACCCTAGATTTAAATACAATGTTCTAATATGGGCACCAAGGAGGAAGAGGTGGACGAATGATGTCCAGTTTTCTAAAGATTTGGATTACCAGACTATGACCGATTTTAATCTTCAATGTACGTAATTAGGCCAAATCCTGTTGTCACCCATTTGCAGGTAACGACTTCTATACATGTACATTAAGCAGAACATCTTTCAGAGAACTTAAATAGCCCCTATAGACATATAATGTTACATTATGTCTTCTCGATGCAAGCCAACCCATATTGCTTGAAAGTTTGGTTTTATATACTGCCGGTCGTCTTCATCAGCCACCCTGGTGCAGAAAAAGTTGGAAGTTAAACTCCATTTCATTCATTGATTCATATACTTTGGGGTCCTTAAATGCATAATAGCAGTCCTGTCATATAGAACGTGTTTTTGACTATTGTGATTTAAGTGCACGATCTGGCTTGTTGAGACCTTAATATACAATGAGTCATTTCAAGACCCGGGTTACGTTTGTGTTGAGCTTGTGTTGTAGTGGTGTATAAGTGGTGTTCTTTTTAGTGACTTAACTCGAGTCTCTCGATTTAGCACTAGTGTTTCCACCAGTGTCTAAACTAGTTTAATACCAGTGTTTACACTAATGGAATATACAAAAAAATTATAACACTAGTGTTATTTTTATATGTTACACTTTCGTTTTTGTCTCCTAACGCATTACATTCAATTCTTTGCGTGAGCTGGCCAACTAAAAACACACCAAAAGAAAGATAATTGGGGAAAACTAAGCGCTAGGAAGTTAAGTAACTAGGATCTATGTTGAATTTTTGTTGTCTGATTTGATCATTATTCAGTTGGAATTTCCTGTCTGAAATTTCTCGTAAATCAGCAGGTCTGTATCAACATTTCTTTGTCTTACGTTTTGGCCATATGTGGGTAAAAAATCCTTTTGAGCCTTAACACTAAATCTAAAAGCCATAAAACAAATTCCCTTTTTGCTGTCTGCTGTTTGACACCGGTTTTGTAATAAATGACTTGAAATGAGATTTTTTTAACACCGAGGGGCTAGAGTTATTTTTAACAATATAATATTTTTTATCAAGCTGTTATTATCTAACACATTTTTATGTAATTAAAAATAAAATTGCACAAAGGTCTTTGTTTGATTATTTTATAATGTAAATTTGGTTCTTTAATCGGAAAATTGATATTGAAAATATGGACAAACTGAGGTATTCGGGTATACGTTAGTCTTTGGGTAATACAGATACGACACTGGTGTTCATGTTGTGTAAATATATCCATGTTTAACACAACCTCAACACCACAGACCTTAACTCGGATTGATTTCAAATACAGAGGGGGTCTGAGGTTGAGTTAGCACAGCGTTACACTAGTGCTTCACGATCGTGCACTAGTGTTACACTAGTGTTATTATCTAACACATTTTTATGTAATTAAAAATAAAATTGCACAAAGGTCTTTGTTTGATTATTTTATCATGTAAATTTGGTTCTTTAATCGGAAAATTGATATTGAAAATATGGACAAACTGAGGTATTCGGGTATACGTTAGTCTTTGGGTAATACAGATACGACACTGGTGTTCATGTTGTGTAAATATATCCATGTTTAACACAACCTCAACACCACAGACCTTAACTCGGATTGATTTCAAATACAGAGGGGGTATGAGGTTGAGTTAGCACAGCGTTACACTAGTGCTTCACGGATCTTATTGGTGTTAAACACTATACCACCATAACCCCATATTCCTGAAGCAATGGTCCGAGAAATCCCTCTCTGGCCATTGCTGGATTGACTTCTGACACGTGAGCTTTTGAAGGAGTGTGTGTATTCTTCCCGTTCATTTAAATCTATCCCAAGTACAGCAACGTGGCAGCCCTTCTTTTAATTTGGGGGATCTTCTCTAAAACTTTGGACAGTGATTAAAAGCTACAATTTCATATTTTTAAGTTATATTTTTAAAATTTATTAAAATAAAGCCTTAAAGATACATTATGTAAGATTTAGATAAAGAACTATCCATTCTTGCTACTATTCAAAAAAAGTAGGGGATATTTGATTTTGGGGGCATAATACTAAAATATGCAAATGACTACGAAAAAAGTCACTATAGAACCTAACAGAAGAAACATTTCCAGTTACATGTGACGCCCAAACGCACCAATAGCTACCGCATGGAATGCAGGTGATGCTTGGGATCATCATGGGGGTCCAACCCAAGATTTGCACGACTCTGACTTTGAATGTTACAGTCATTGTGGCATTGGATTCCAGGGTGGAAACATCAGTTGAATTGTTTTAGTGACCAGAAAACAAATTTTGATATGCGTCGGCTTACCCAAAATGAAAGGTTACGTGCCCTTGGCATGCTACAGATCGGCACAACACAGGCGGTTGTGGCGCGGACGATGAATGTTTCTCAGTCTGTCATAAGCAGGCTATGGTCCAGATACCGTGATACACAATCTGTACAGGACAGACCACGCTCAGGTCGACCAAGGGCGACAACTCAAGCCCAGGATCGATTTATCCGTACCTTGGCCTTGAGAAATCGTGTCATCACAGCAAATCAGATCAGCGCTCGTCTTCAAACAGACACTGGTGTGAGAGTGAGTGGCCAGACGATTCGGAATCGACTGCATTGGGGTCACCTTCGCGCCCGACGTCCTCGCGTGATCCCTTGTTTGAGAGATCATCACATTCAGGCAAGACGTCGTTGGTGTAGGGATCGTCAACACTGGGATAATCGACGCTGGAGCAATGTGATGTTTTCAGATGAGTCAAGGTTCACTGTTGATTTTTTGGACAGACGTAGGAGGGTGTGGCGTCGTCGAAACGAGCGCTTCCAAGACGTTAACGTCATCAGACATGATCGATTTGGGGGTGGTTCTGTTATGGTGTGGGGAGGCATCACTGTTGCTGGAAGAACGGCTTTACATGTTGTTGCAGGGCGTGTTACAGGCCAGTACTACCGGGACAACATCTTGGCAGTCCATGTTGTGCCGTTCGCACGACGTCATGGCCGCCGTTTCATCTTCCAGGATGACAACGCAAGATGTCACAGGGCCAGGATCGTTACAGGTTACCTCCAACAACAGAACATCACCACATTACCTTGCCCAGCACTGAGTCCCGACCTCTTCCCCATCGAGCATGTCTGGGACATGCTTGGACAGAGGTTACGTCAACGTCAACAACGTCCTGCCAATGTCCAAGAATTTGCTGCTGCGTTGCAACAGGAATGGGACAATCTGGACCAAAATGACCATAGACGTCTCATTAGGAGTATGCCACGTCGGATCAATGCTTGTTTGGCAAACAGAGGAGGATTTACCCGTTACTGACTTGGTTGTGATGCTGTGGTAACTTTGCTGTTTGACCCGGGTATCATTTTACCCTTATAATGGTCAGTCTGTGCCTTACGTAGTCTAACGATCATTTGGAATAAATCGATGAATGTGAACTTCATTTCATTTTGTCATTTGTTTCTTCGTCAGTTTCATTAGGTGACTTTAATAACACTTAAAAATCAAATATCCCCTAAATCGATGAATGTGAACTTCATTTCATTTTGTCATTTGTTTCTTCGTCAGTTTCATTAGGTGACTTTAATAACACTTAAAAATCAAATATCCCCTACTTTTTTTGAATAGTATATAATAGTTCGAAAGAAGATGATGTAAAATGAATAATTTGAAAATTTCATTCAAATTACTCTATTGCAAGCGAAGATATTAGCCTTTGAAGGTTTGACAGACGTGTGCAATAATTTCAACCACAGTACTGGTTGATCGAAGCTAAGTCTCGGTCCTCCATATTTGATTAAATCAAAGTATCGCTGAACCATTCTAATCTATTTAATATCGGAGAAATCTGATGCCATCGAGAGTTGATTAAGACCTGGATCAGTTAATTAATGTCTAATTAATACTTTAGAAAACATTTCAGGCCTAAAGAAAGACCTGCAATAGGCAGATTTAGCTCTTGCATAATGCATGTTTAAAATAGATGGTATCCATAAACAGTCCTACCTTGTTAAAGAATAATCCTAATAATCCTATAATTCACTATTGCCAGCTGAGAAATTGGCAAAAATATCATTTTCAGCTTCAAATTCAAACGTTTGAACATAGCTATTCCATGGAGGTAATGAGAAAACAAGGGAGGTAATTGTGTTATTATTTCCTGTGTCAGTGATTTTTAAGGATGGGAAATAATGACCATGGTCGTATAATAGTGAGTTGATAACCTATTGAGCAAAAGAAATAGAAATAATTATGTTTTGACTTACTTAGAAAATATGAAATTCTCGCTTTAAGGTATTAAAAACGATGAGAGTATTCTTCGTCTCTATACAGTATTGTTTACATTGTATTTGTGTTGATAGCCTCATTTCTCACACAATTAGTTTTTCTGCAATATTCTGCTATGCACTGGTTAATTGGGCATAATAAAACCGTGAGTAATGACGTAAAGTTAAGTAAACATATTTGGTCCAATTTGGAGCTTTGTTTAAAATGTAACGATATTGTTACGCAGTTATGGCTATTGGTTGTTAATCGGATTATTGACCAGTCATAATTTGGAACAGAAATTTGCTTCCACTAAAGCAGTGTTTAGTGGGATTAGTTCTAATCAAACGAAACACTGCGAGAAGTATGACTTAACCCAGGTTTTAAATTGACCGAATGGGTTAAGGTGGTGTAGTGGTTAACCCCAGTTAGATCAGTGTAGCAGACATTCAACATAGATCTCGGTTACTTAAATTCCCAAAAGCGGTTCGAAGTTTAACTTGGTGGTTATTATAGTCAGTCAGCCCATGTATTTTGGATTGCAAGGAGTACTTGTCATTTATTTACACATGAAGTTATTGATGTTTTGTTTGACATTTTAGACAGATTCATAAATTTACTTAAAAACTTGACATTGCCAAGTTGACAGATGGCAGAAATATGTTTGCAGTATTGTACATTGATGGTTATCTTCAATAGAAGGCTTGATCTGGCTTTAACTCCGTACATGAACGTGATTGATAGTGTGATTGTTAAAATACAACGCCCATGCCATGCTGGAGATGCCTACTGTTTTGGCCAAAGCGGTACATCGTGTAATGCCCTGAATGTTCACTATATCGTGGATCGGAGATGAGTGGCGAGACACATCATAACGGGTATCCCAGGCACTTCACGACAAAACTGCAGCAGTGCTTAACTCAGTTTGTAATGTATTGAAACAGTATGCAACCTAATGATGTAGTATTCGGAGATGCAGTTTATAGAGGACTTTATGGCTAATATATAAGCATCAACCTGACTGGTTAGATTCTGTATGCAATTATAATTTTGTCAAGCTTCCAATTCGTTCGAATCTGCGACATGATGGTGATCACTAGTGTTAAATTAGGACACCACTACATCACAACTTTAACGTAAGCGCAACCCGGGAATTGACCAAACAGGTGAGGTCAAAAGTGGTGTTGGAGTAAATAGTTATGACCTAATGTAACACTAGTGTAAATCTTTTCCTGACTTTTGGCCCCAAACAAAGTGTTACGCCAAAATGGGAGATATTCAACTGTGAATAAAATTACAAGGTAGAGTCTCCAGACAACACTAGTGTTATCCGAAGCAAATTTTTGTATAAAGGGCTTTTCATCTATAATAATATTTGTGACTGTCGTTTGTCTATCTGTTCGTAATTGGCGGCTACACTAGGGCTGTACCGGGCTGAAATTTGGTGCAGTAACATAGATTAAGTGGCGTTGGCCTACCGCTCCCGGTTTCGGAGTGATACGACTATCAATCCGTGCAGCGCCGGGTCATCCGCTAGTATTGAATAATGATATTAGGCGAAAATAAAACAATTTTAATTTTATCAAGATTACATAACACTTTACGTCTTACTTTTGACCTCGATAAAAGTGTTAACCCCTAGGGGGATAGAGGTACAGTCCTATCGGGGCTCATGTTAAAAACAACAGGAAAACTTCCATGAGTTGAGATTAGGGAAACACTAGAGTGACACTAGTGTTTGATTCACTTCACTTGAATTAATTAAGAGCTAAGATATTGTTATAAATTTGGTTGAGGTCAAAACAGTGAGTAAGTGTGAGTATGCCTTTCTTATAGAGTTAAATAAGTTCAGAGCAGAAGTATAATCATTGCCGCCTTACAACGTTGGATCATTTTCAACAGTTAAGTTGCTTTTAAAATTACTGTTTTTGTAGCAAACGCCTTACAACTAAGATATATTTGTACGTTTTCAGGCGGAGAGTATTTTCAACGAAAGACCACATAATCAGGTTTGTCTCAAAATTGAAACTTTTACTTACTCTAATAGATACCTAAAAGATACACCACCAATTTGTTAGCAGTTTCACATTTTTCTCATTAAAATATTCATTTCGTTTTTGTTTTTTCATTTTCGTTATTAACAATGGTTAAAAACGCAATGCTAAATTAAAAGTTTATTTACTGCAACAACTTTTAACAAATGTACATAACAATTGACAAAATCGAGATAATTATTATCTGTGGATATAATTGCATGAACGAATTCACTACAAATGCACAAAGCCGATACCATGAAACAAAGCAAGGGTCAGCTGAAGTCAATATCGGGTATGTCCACCCTGAGCTCTTACACACGCTGTGGGATTGTTTGCCAATGATTTTGGGGTGCCTGTGCCAACTCTCCAACAGTTTGTGGTGGCACGGCTTGTGTTCGAACCCGTCGTCCAAGTTCTTCCCAAAGGGGTTCGATCGGGTTACGAGTAAAGCGTTCATGTTGACGTCGGTAGATACGGTGACGTCCATCAGGAAAACTGAGGTTGAGTCGGGATTCATCCGATAAGATGACATTTCGTCATTGTGTGTTGTGCAGATACCCCTGATTTGCGTCCAATTGCTGTCTGGCAAGTCAATGGCGATGCAAAAGGATTTGACGTTGGTAGGGTCGACGGCAGCGTAACCCAAGAGCAGCCAGGCGCCTTCGGACTGTTTGAGGGCTGATCTGACGTTGCCGTGTTCCAACAGTTCTCCTGGCAGTAGCAGTAGCTGACTGGAACCTGTTGCGCAGATGCTGTAGTCGGATGTGGCGATCATGAGCAGCGGTTGTTACAGTTGGCGCTCCAGGTCGGGTCGATCGGCAACTCTTCCAGTGGCGTGGAAGCGATGTCTGAGGCGAGCAATGGTCGATTGGTAGACATTAAACTGTCTGGCGACGGCTACCTGTAAAGCCCCCTGATCCAGCATGCCAATAGCTCTGTTCCTGTTTTCTTGTGTAAGGCGTGGCATTTTTCCGAAGTGATGGATGTTGAAATTTTGATCTATATTTAAAGGGCCAGAGTGCAGGGAATCCACGTGCAAAACATGTGACATGGGACTGCTTAAAATCGTGAAAAAAGACAAGTGTTGCGTTTGCACGAACAAAGTTCATTTCCGAGAACTGATATTGGGCTCAAACTCGAACTCCACAAATTTCACCTATGTGCCATATGATAGGAAAGCCCAAGAAAACGTTTACCAGAAATATTTCACGAATTAGGCATTGCGTTTTTAATGGCTTTGAGTATATCACGATTTGCACTCCGGCTGGGTGTGAAACAGCTTTATTTAACGTCCGCTTCCACCGAGGTGATGTCGCTGACAGGTAAGGTAACCTAAGACAAGGGTTAAAAATGCAGGTTTAACATCCACTCGGTACCAACTAGATCATTTTGGGACTTAACATAATATCATAATATGGTTTAATTTTATTTCAATAATTCACTTGCGCTTAAGGGGTCTATTAGCAGGGGTCTACTGCGCGTAATTGGTCTATTAGCAGGGGGGGGGGGTAGTGTATAAGGAATAACATATGGGTTGAATAATGTACTATTCCCTTGGGTCGTTATTACGGGCACCATCTTTTAGAAACTCATTATAATGTTAATTTTGTTTTTCAGTTTTTATGGCGATTCACTCCAGATGAAACAAAAGAATCTGTATATCTATCCGTTAGTAAATACAGGGGTAAAATATTTGAGATTTATACAGAATTGCAAACCAGCATTATGATCAGCCATTCAACTCTCACTATCTGGAAGGCTCAGTTTGAATACCAAGGACGATATGTTTGTGCACGAATGATAAATAATAAAGTAGTCAGGGCGTACATAGATATAAAAGTGAAAGGTAGGTAACAGTTTCAAGTCACCAGATGTCTTCAAGACTGGAACAGATCGGGTCGATATCAACCTCCAAACCGTTCACCGTTCGCAAAAAATCGGCATTGCAGGTTGGAATTGTATAACTCCATGCAAAAATATAATGGGTTAATGATGTCGTTCGTTTGTTACTATTTTGAAATTGCCCCGATTTGTTTATAACCCAAAGATCTTGGTTCCTTTCGATATTCGCGCATATCGGATCGTAACTTCTTGAATTATGACCCCTAATTGTACGAAAAATCGCGTTTTTAGCTTGTGGTTCCTCTAGAGGTCACAATTATTATCCGATTTAAAAAAAAACAACGTTCGAATATATCACTGTTACACCATAATGTTGGTTGAGTTTGAATTTCGTAAAAATCGGACCAAAACTGCCTCGTACGCAAATAGTGTAAAAAATATGGTATATCAAGGTTGTGGACCCTATAGAGCCCACAATTTTTATCCGATTTTGATGGAACTTTAAATTTAAGCATATATCACAAAGATCTTGGTTCTTTTTGATAATTGCGCATATCCGAACGTAACTTCATGGATTATGGCCATTGATTGTTCGAAAAATCACATTTTTACTACATTCCATAAAATTGTCGACTTTTGATAACTATTTTTAGTTTTTTACCATAAGAAATAAAAATGACATAAAATGGGGTTTAACGTCCTACTTTTACCATAAGAGTTCCACATTATGTTTGACTTTCCAAAACTTTCTTCTCAGACCCCTTATCTCCCTGTGTGGTACTAAATTCCACAAGATTTTCTACTTGTGTTTTGGCCTGTGGTGTTTTTCACCAAGAGTTCCTTGAGATATTAGAAACACTTAAACACTTATCAAAACTATTTTTAGTTTTTTACCGCAAGGGTTCAGTTTCACATTATATTAGACTTTCAAAAATTTTCTTCTCAAACTTTATATCTCCCTACTTAGAAGTGTCTGTGTTTTATTTTTACCACAAGAGTTCCGAAAAACAGTAAAATGACATTTAAATTACATAGAGTTATTTTCTTTGGCTTAGAACTAATTTTATTCGTGAGATTTTAACCACCATCTTCAAATTGTAGGTGTACCCACAGTTACAACCAATAGCTCTGAGTTGGCTGTTCTCCCAGGGCAAACAGGCCGACTACACTGTAACGTAACAGCAAGACCTGCAGCCGATGATGTTGAATGGTTTATAGATGGTATTCCTGTTCACATTGATCGGTTCGTAAACTCTACAATAGTTATATTTTAGTACATTAAAAGTGCAATATTCTATGTAAGAATGAATCAATCGAGAAACAGCTATATGGTTATACACTTAAGCAAGTATCCCGTAATGTTACTTCAAGTTAGCATTACTTTGTGTTTAATGTCGGTGTTTGCCTTCAGGGTCAAATTAAGGCCCATGCCACCAGGCGGATCCCGTCTAAATCATCTGTGGTTTGTGGTAAGTGTTTATTTCTATATAAACTATAATAATAATAGCTTATGCAACTGTATGGCAGTTTGTAGGGTTTATAATACCATAATTCCTTGATAAGGCATGTCAGAATTGGCTCTAAGCGCATATACTATCCCGTAAGTCGCACTGGGGGATATGACAATTGTCCTATCCAGTTCTATCAACCTCACGCGTCTTGAGAAATATTACTAGTTCGATATATTAGATATCAAATTAACTTCAAAGGCACAACGTTTACCTGGGCCCTGAGGAAATTTTTTGAACACGCGTATACTATTTATGTCCCATAACGCACCATCCAGTCATTTCCAATAATGATATTTACACCATTCTGCATAGATATATATATATATATCGGTTTGCAACTTTTGCTTTCAGACGAAAATATGATATAATTTCGTCCGCGAGTGATATTTACCAAACTTCGACACTTGTAGTAAAAAGGGTAAAAATGCGTGACTACGATGTGCAATATTCGTGTAGAGCTGAAAATGAGATAGGTGCTAAAGGGCTAAATCTTAGACTGAAAGGTAAATCAATATGTTTGAAATTACTTTTAACAACCAATAAATGTTATTCATCACTCGTCTGAATTGTTTTAAATTCCGTACACAAGTTTCGAATTTCTATAACATGTCATGTCTATTCATGTGATACTTCTATAAAGGCTTACGGTGGCGATTTTAAGTTTTGGTTCGAGCAAAGCTGGTATGGGTTGTCTTGGTGGTGATTGGTGAGTCAGTTTTTAGTTATTCGACCTTATAAAGCTGTACATCTAAATACCAGTTCTCGATTTTATTCTGACGATGAAACTTTTTTTTTACCTTTTCATGTCTACTCCATCAACCTTATGTATGTTCTTTGACTAGTGTTCCTCATCTCAAACCTAACAGAGTTGTGTATGGCTGGTTTTGAAATTGACTTTTTTGTGAAGAAAATTGAAAATCTTGTTTTTATTCAATATTGAAGAAAACGAAAGGTGTTAAACACCTTATTAAGCCGCCCGTCCGTCAACACTAGAGGCTGCGATTTTTGACGGATTCTTTTCAAATTTGGCGTTAAGCATTTTGGTCATGAGAGGATACACCCTGTCGACTTTCAGCGTTCAGCGGCTTTTCGTTCCGAAGTTACCCCACCCCACCCCCTTTCCGAAAACCCCGTGGACGCGATAGAGGCTGTAGCTTTAACTGATTCCTTTAGTGGGAAGCATGGTGGCCATTAGAGAGTGAAACCTATCGATTCTCAACATTGTGTGGCTTTCAGTTATAGACTTATCGCCCCTTTGCTTAAATATCAGAATTTTCCTTTCGGGTAAGCTGGTGTCAAGACATCGCTGTTTGAATAGACCAGATGAAGCCGACACAGAGTCAAAACCAACTCGATGCCAACTAATCAATAACTTTAAAATTCATGTTGGTTTATGGTTTGCGTTAGATTATTGTGCGTTGTGCGGTTATAAATTCATTGAATAAATAGCAATAAAACAACACGTTTCTAAAACATCTATTTACAGTATACTTATTTATACTTATTTGTTTTTATATGACGTATAGTTTACTTTTTTCTAATGCATACAGTTGTATATGTCTGTTTAGTGTGGACGTTAAACCCAATTGTGTGGCTTACAGTATACTTGTTTCTAAATTATACAGATGTATATGTTTGGGTTTTTTATTGTGGCTTACAGTGAACTTATGTCTAATTTATACAGTTGTGTATGTTTTTTAAACGGCCACATGTTCATGTGTCCGGACGTCCGTTCACATTTTGTTTGTGGACACTCTACAGGTTACAATTTTTACCAAATTTTGACGAAATTTGAAATATAGACCTATTTCCCAAAGATCCCAGTTCCTTACGATATTAACATGTATCGAACCATAACTTCATAGATTTTAGCTTGTGGACATTCTAGATGTCACACCCTGTATCCGATTTTGGTGACATTAGAACTACAAATGTATGTTAATAACCTACAGATCTTGACTCCTTTCGATATTGGCGCATATTGTACCGTAACTTCCTGGATTCTACAAAATAATCGCGTTTTTAGCTTTTGGACCTTTTAGAGGTAACAATTTTTATTCGATTTTAAAAACCGTTTAAATATAACCGTTCGTATTTCGTGAAAATCGGACGGAGACTGTCTGATGGATTTGCAGCTCCCCTTTAAGCAGATAGTATAATATCAAGGTTGTGGGCTCTCTAGAAATCACAATTTTTATCCGATTTGGATGAAACTTAAGACATGTTTATATCCCCAAAATCATGGTTTATTTCGATATTGCTGCATGTCGGGCCGTCACATCAAGGATTATGGCCCCTGATTGTGTGAACATCGCTTTTTAGCTTGTTCTCTGTCCATCTCTTGCAAAATGTGGGCGTATCTTGCATGGCAACCGCTTGTTATATTTTTGTGATATGGCTTACAGCATACTTAGTTCTAATATTGTTACAGCTGTATATGTTTGTTTCCTATATGACCTACAGATGTGAATGAATGTGAAACTGGTCATCATAATTGTACTAAAGAGGGTTTTATATGTAGAGATATCATTGGTTCTTTTGCTTGTGATTGTAAACATGGCTATGTTCAAGACAGGGGTACTTGTATAGGTAATGTTATTCAATTAATATAGGATTGTAAATATATAGTCATAGATAGGAAAATATATTTACCGGTTAAATATATATTACATAACTCATTTTATAATGAGTTGATGACAGTTACGATGGCCGGATAATGTGATAGAACTCTCTGTATCCGCCCGATACCAAGGCTAGAAACACTTACTTGTTGACTCTCTTTTTTCGATTAGTTAATTAATTTATTGTGAACTTATGAGCCTTAAATTTTAGTTTTTTGGGGCTTTAGAAATCTGCTTTCGGGTAAAAATTCGACCTGTTGGTGGAATAATTGTACTGGACGATATCTTTAAGAAAAAATTTGATTAATACTATACATTTTCTACAAATTCCACGACGCATGAAATAGATGCACAACTTTCAATTATATTTTCAGTATTAAGTAACAAAGCTGCGGAGAGTTTTGCAGTAATTGTTGGAGTCAGTATTGGTGTAACAGTTGTGGCGGTGATAGTTATTGTTGTTTTAGTTTGCTTTTTTCGTAAGAAGGTAAAAATCCCCCGTCTTCATTTCGTGTAACTTTTATGGTTCTGATCTTCTATGTCACATAAGATCTAATATATAATCCGAAGTGTTGTTCAGACTGCTTACATATACTGTGGTAAGCATAAATAGTTTAGTGAACAATGTCAGAGTGAGATTGAAACAGCTCTGGTTTTATTATTCTTTATAAGACACAAGTCTGGACACAATAATAAAACATAGTTCGGTAAGTCATGGTATATTAAACGAAGAAAATCGAATATCTGATCGAAAAACCTATCAAAATTTAATTGGATTGTTTAACCAACCCTAAAGATTTATGTGAACAGTAACAAAGTACGGAAGACTATTTCGGTCATTTAAATATACTTTATGCAACAGCTAAATCTGCCTATTGCAGGACTTTCTTTAGGCCTGAAATGTTATATAAACTATTAATTAGACATGAATTAAATTATCCAAACCATAAACAACTCTCGATGTCATCTTATGTGTCGGATTATCACTGGATTTGAATCCGATCTGCTGCTTAAATGGATAATCGAGACTATGTTTTTCATCTTACCGACTTTAGTAATGATGATCGTGGCTAGGCTTAAAATTCAAAATCAAAAATAAATATTCTGATTATCTTGTAATAAACAATAAATTGAAATATGGAAATCATTATGTTATTTTTTCGGAAATTTCTTGCAGAGAAAACAAGACACAACAGAACCATTAAACACGCATATGGTAGCTAGATATAACATAAGTAATAATTCTAATATGACAACACATGAGGTAAGTTCCATTGGTATTTTCTTGTGTATAGAAACTTATATTGTATGTGTTAACTTTGGGGAAGCGAAGCATGTTGACATACTATCCTGTATGTCTTCAGAAATAACTAATGATCTTTGTTGCCACCATACACCATGGGATTGACGGGCACCACAGACATTTGTGAATTCAAGAAAAATGTACTAAACAGCAAAAAAAAAAACGTCAGTACGATTTCAAAATCAGAGAGGCACTTTAATCAAATCATTCTAGAAAACGACTTGCTAAATGAATCAAAGCAATTTTTTGTGAACAGTATGTTGACACATTAATGATTAATTCATCACAATTCCAAGACATTACGGGAAGTTTTAGAGTCTGTACACAGTCTATACATCAGTATCTGGTGTGTCCCCCGCGGGTGTCAATAACAGCAGCGCAGCGTCTGTACATGGAATGGACCAGACGATTGATGAACGCCATTGGCACCTGGAACCACACTCTCAGAAAAGCCTGGCGCAATCCATCGGTTGTATTTGGTCTCGGTACGACCTTATTAAGTCTTCTCTGAATTTCATCCCAAAGATATTCAATCGGGTTTAAGTCCGGACTAAGGGCTGGCCAGTGCATAACGTTGACTTCGTTCTGCTGTAGAATGTCCCAAGTAACTCTGGCGGTGTGGGCACGGGCCTTGTCACGCTGGAAAACGTTGTTTCGATGACGTGCGAAATGTGGTATGACGTGGAGTCTGAGAGCTTGATCGATGTAGCGCACTGGACCAAGATTTTCGAACACCACAGGACCCACTATCTGGTTCAAGCCAATTCCACCCCAAACCATTATGCTTGGACCTCCCCATGAGTCTCGTTCCATGACACATTGGTCAGAATAACGCTGGCCACGTCGACGCCATATTCTGGCCCTGCCATCTGCAGTTGATACGCAATACCGACTCTCATCTGTGAACAGAACGGTTCTTCGTTGCCTGTGTCGCCAGTTCTGATGTTTTTGGGCAAACTGTAGGCGTTCACGTCGATGGCGAGGGGTGAGGATCGGTCCACGGTGATGTCTACGGCAATGGATGTTCTCTGTGGTGAGACGTCGGCGCACTGTATCGGTACTGATGGGTCTTCCGTGTGTTCCCACTGTCTGACGTGCAGTCTCAGATGCCTGTGTGGAGGGATTCTGCACGTGCTGTCGCACAACATGGCGGTCTTGTCGCCTTGTGGTAACCCTTGGTCTACCAGTTCGGGGGCGATCATCTGTGGTGTTGGTGACCCGAAAGCGTTGCTGAAGCCTGTAGATGGTCCGAACATTGACCTGGAAGTGATTGGCAACGGCTTGGGCAGTGTGGCCAACGTCGAGTCTTCGAAGCGCCTGGTTCCTCTGAGCTGTCGTGAGTCGTGGCATGCTGCTGACGTTGTAGTGTGAATGATTCAACTAGGTATGGGGGTGCATTTTATAGGGCTGATCCCGGTGAACAGCACGTGCAGCATGCGTTACATGGAAATCATGGAGAACACATTACCATCTCAGAAGTCCGGTTGCGTTTTTGAGAACATATCCTGGGTTCAATTCTGTGTTTGGGAAGGACTCTTATTGCTCAGGTAAAGTTGGAGATGTGGTCACAAATAAACAATGAAAACATTTGGTAAGTTTTATGCAATGCGTCTATTCAGAGTAACATACTAACATTACGTTTCTTTTGCTGCTTAGTATATATTGATATAATGTGCATAGATAAATAGGGTTTCAATTAGAGAGAGCTTTCTTTTTAACAAATCCGTTATTATCATCTTCACATTGTCAGTGGTATAGAACTAAACCCTAACATCTTATAACTTGACTCTACTGAATTGATTACTGGTATTCATAGGCATGACATGTAAGTCAAGGTATTGGACATGTTGGAAAGCTTAACAATATGTATGAATGTAAGATTTTACATAGATTCAAATTTTTCAGCCTAGTGAAAAGCTTCAAATAGATACGGACTTATTTCCACGAAGCCGCTTAAAATTTTTGAATAATCTGGGAGAAGGTAAATTTGGAAAAGTTTTAAAGGCAGAGGCACTAAGTATTTCTAAAAGTGGCATGTGGGAGACAGTTGCAGTGAAAATGTGGAAAGGTTAAAGACTTTATATAGTTTCATTCCGTTTTTTTTCTTTTATCTTGCCATGCACTTGGCAATCTTGGCCCATGATTAACAATACTCTTGATGAGCAAATACAATACACACCACAGTTTTCAAAGGTGGTATCTTATTGTTTTCTTTAAAATGGGGTTTACTGTCCAATCGACACAAACTAAGTCATTTCGGGACAAACACTATGGTTCAATTCTATTTCATTAATTCGCTTGCGCGAAGGGGTCTTTGGCAATGGGAGGAAACCGTAAGATACGGGGAAAATCCACGATGTTAGACAGGCGATCATACAATTTGTCACGCTCAAGCGAGTAATCGAAACCACGCCACTTGACTCAATGACAAAGCATTGAGCCACCCAACCCCCACAACATTTGACAAACTCTGCAGACAATATAAATTAGGCAGTGCTACCTGTAAGTTTTAGGTAAAATATTTTGATTGTCTAAGTCGGGATTAATCTACGGTTGAACTTTCGATTTTGTGGACTGAGCCGTGAAAATTAAATAGTGTTCGAAAAAAATATGCAAATCACCATCGGCGGTTTTAAGTGATTTTAATTATTTTGATATTATGGTTTTGTTTTGGTGCAAAAGAACAAGACCTTTCAAACTATCATTCAAATTTCAAATTTTCATTTATGAAATATTTTCCTAACCCACGTTATTTAGATAATATCATGAAATGTTTTTGAAAAAGTGACTAGAAATAGCTAATTCGGATTCTGTTTAGCTTCAACTAATAGATAAATCAAATTGATTTTACAGGACGCATTTTTGGACGCTATAATTGGATAATCAGATAGTGCTGAATTTTCAGAAAATGTTCACTGACACTGGTTCACAATGCTCAATAAGAATTTTTAATTTGAAAAAAAATGCTTAATAAAAAAAATACATATTTTCCTTTATTTTTAACTCTTGCATCAGATTCTTCTACAGATGGAGAAAAGGAAGACTTTTACAATGAATTAATGATTGTAAAAAAAATCCCAGCACATCACAATGTTGTTAGTTTTCTTGGGCGAACTCCCGCTGAAGGTAAGTATTCGTTACTTGTCACAAAAATATAAAAGAACGTCACAGTACTGCCAAAATCAAACCTCTGTATGCACAATCTTCATTGCCGGTGTATGTTTCATTTTAATTGTCAAGTTTTTCCTGACTTCTTTATTCTAATTTAAATGAAATAAAATGCTCCGACTTGGCTAATGAAGACGAGCATACGCAGCCGCAATATGAAGCTGTGTGAAAAATTTCATAGAAAAAATGTCACGGTCTAAAATTTACCGAATACGAGTTGCCGTTTACCTCCGTATAGTCCGATTTATTTCGTTATTACTATCCCCTTCTAGGCGGTAATAATATCGGAAACGGTGGAAAGTGAATAGTCTCAACAACAACCAAAGAGACCAACAACAACCAAAGAGACTATGTACTCACATTGTACAACATACAATAATTTGAACAGGTACGCCTAGTTTCTAAACACTAAAGGCGTGGTTTCGATTCGCCGGTTGTACGTGAGAAGGAGTAGGGTCGCCTGGCCAACCTCGTGGGTTTTCTCCGGGTCCTACGGTTTCCTCCCACTGCTAAAGAACCCTACGCGCAAGCGAAATATTGAAATAAAATTGAACCATGTGTTAGTCCCGAAATGACCTACACAGATTTCAAGTGGACTTGAAAAAATCCAGAATATGGATATAAGCGCACTTTAAATCATCGTGATTGCCTAGTCGTTTAATTCGGCGAGATTCAAAACTTTTAATAAAGTATCCATTTTGAAATCATTTTTCTTGGGCTACTCGTTTAAGGTCGTGGGCTTATTACAGGTCTCGCCTCGGCATTCTTGTTTGGAACTACTGAATGGTTACCGTAGAAACATTAGCATCTCTCTATCTATGCCAAGCTATGACACACTTTTGAAAAAATGAAATATATCATTTTCTACGGACATCAAAGTGTGTGTACTTCGGGTAGTTAGCCGATTCATAAGTATCTTCACTCATAAAGATATGTCTATTATAGGTCGTTCTGACATGAGATAAACTCTCCCACTCTCCATCAGGAGAGGTAACTGGCTTTTGGGTTCAAACTACTCTCTTCCAGTGAAAATGTTATTTGTCAAAATATTCATATTCAAGTATTTTTTTAATCTTGTTCATTTAAACGGGGAACGAATATTGTGCATATGAAGGTGTGATTTTGAACGTGCTGCAATTTTTGTTTTGGATTATTTGAAAAGTCTCGAACTCAATATTTTCCATAATATTCGCAATTAAAAACACGAATTGAATATTGATCAATTTCAATCAATATTGATCAATTTCAATCAATATTGATCAATTTCAATCAATATTGATCAATTTCAATCAATATTGATCATTTTCAATCAATATTGATCAATTGCAATCAATATTGATGTTGTTATCTTGCCGCGAAACTATATGATCCTAATATCCAATATTTAAAACACAATCAAAATTTTATAATCAATACACGAGTCGTGTACCCTATGGTTTCGGTTGTCATTTTGTAATGAACAAATAAAAACCGACCCTACAACACAATGTGGAAGTAATTAGTAAAGGGCAATTCACAAACGACAAAATAATAATTTATAAAACGTGTAGAATGCAGTAAGTAGGCGTAAACGACTTCCGTTCAATTTGAACTGTTCACGTATTTCATCGAACATAATTGATTAGAAATTACAATATATTTATCAAAAATTGAATATAAATCACTTTGCATACATTCATATTACATTAATATGTGCTTTTAGAACCATTTTTGTCTATGTCCTATAAAATTTTCTGTTATAATCTACATGTATTAGTTTATTTTGGGGTTTATTTGTTTTGTTTATTTTATTTTTTTTAAATTTAAAGGTTCAAATTCTGCTTTGATGATAATGGAGTATGTACCAGGGGGTGACTTATTGACATATTTAAGAAAACTGAGAACTCCAAAACAAGTAAACACCCCGTCTACAGAGCCATCGATACATTCTCAACTTTCCCCGAAAGAGTTATTGCGGTTCAGTCATCAAATAGCTAAAGGAATGGTACACATAGCATCATTACACGTGAGTATTATTGTATCGACAAACTCAGTAAACGTATTGACAATCAATGTTAAATGGGGCTATGGGTAAATCGTGTTAACTTTCTGCAGGGGAGTGCTCATTATGCACTTGAAGTCTTTGCCGCCCCCAAAAAATAACTGAATAGAAAAAGACTTACCAGGTAGAATAATCAGTTTGGTGATGGTGCGAAGCAGCTACTGCCAATAAAATTATCTCTATTCAGTACAAGACAGCTGAAATGACGATTCATATTTGTTTCATCTAAAGCATGCAGGCAATGTGTTTTTGATATAAGGATATGACTACCCATTAATTAAGGGATGTGTTAATACTTTGTAGACATTCCGGAGAAAGTCGAACAACAGCGTTCGAGCTGTATGCCCGTCCAATTCCGGATCCGTTTATTCCCAATTAAGTCTCTATAAAATCATACAGATGCAATGATAAATCAGTTAATATCACCAATTTACCTCTGTATACATTTCCTAATGCTATATATCATTATGTATCATAATTTCAAGGAATTGCGGATTTATAAAAATGTAGGCGCCCTAGTAAACCCTCTGCACCATCCCTCTGATACGCTCTTCTTCTGAAATGGACTAAACAATCGAACAAACAAAATGATAGTGGCGGCTATCGTGCACCCGACAGGATACATATACGGTTCCTATCTTTAGAAACAACTGCTACAATACATTTAGGGAAGACACCTTTGTTTTATTTATATATGTATCCATTCTTTCCCCTTTACCATTCTGTTTTGTTGTTGCCACAAAGATGGGAGAACTGTCGCAAAAAAAATCATAAAGTTATTTATGTCGAAATAAATGACTTTATAATAGATAAATCCCATCTATTTTATGATCAATCCATCAGATTGAGATGACATGATGTTAGGTGATCCAACAAGTTAATCATTAATTCGGATTCTTTAATGTCGTCTTGTTCAGATTTTAAACGCCAAAATAGGTTTTTATGTATATTTTATTAATGATAAAACTTGTAATGTAATTATTTTGTAAGACGAAGACTCGTTTATTTGACATTAAATTTCACAATAAAGACACAAATATTAATAGATTATATTATAAATAGAGAATATATGTTTATAAATTTGTGATTAAAGGTTTTTGTTTCCATAATATTAGATAGTAAATTTTGATTCGTGACTAATGACAAAATATGTTTTATTAAATATAGACTGCGCATGTTTTGCTCTGCATTGACGTAACCAATGTCAAACTACGTTTATACTACAGGGTAGAGTTTATGCTACATTTTGAAATACAAAATGCAAATTCTAATTGCAATATTTAAGAAATACGTCATATAAATTAACATGATAATATATAAGTAAATTACTAACTGTACGTAAGAAGTTACATGCGTTGAAGTAAGCATATTAGCACATGCATTACTTGGTTAAGAGTTGGAATGATGTTAGAATTCGGCTCTATGAACTTATACATTCCTGGCAACATTGTCGCCGATTTGAACGCAATCTAGCGCATGAAAACGGTCTGTTTAATTAGGTAAATCAATATCATAACAATTAAACAAAGGCAGTCTATTTAAGCAGGTGAACGTTAGCAATCGTATAAAAACGGTCTACGGAATCAAGTGAACAATAAGAATCATATCAAAACTGTCTATTTTATCACGTGAACAATAAGAATCATATCAAAACGGTCTATTTTATCAGGCAATCATATAAAAATGGTATGTTGTGAACAGTAACAATCATATAAAAACAGTCTATTTTATCAAGTAAGCAATAACAATCATATCAAAAAGGTCTTTTTTATCAAGTGAACAATAACAGTCATATCAAAACGGTCTATTTGATCAGTCAGTCGAATAAATGTTCGTATGGAATGAACATATCTATGTCAATGTTGATGGAATTTGTATTGTCGCAACAAATGGTGTCAACATAATATAATAATATGTGTTCATAAAATGTTTCCCACTTGTTAACTCCTTTTTGTGGCTTTTAGCTATTATGGATTCCTAACTTAATGTCATTATAAAAATGTCTATGTAAAGTTTAATATTTCAGATTGTTCATCGCGACGTGGCTGCTAGAAATATTTTAATCGGAGAAAATAATATTTGTAAAATATCAGATTTCGGTCTAGCTAGGGAAACAGAAGGCACTGACGAATATGAAAGATGTACAAAGGTATGAATAAACTTTGATATAAAGTAATCGAAGAAGTTTCGGCTTATAGTCACGTTGCAGGTATTGTTCTTATTATACCAAGTCATAGTTCGCAACACTGTGCCTCTCGTTCTGTTATATCACATTAAAAACCCTGTCGAACTTTTCGTAACTAAATTAGAGAAATTTATTCGCTGAAGACTACTAAATTTTAATTTGTTTCTTTGTTGTTTTTTGACGGTTTTCGTTTTTTGGTTTGTTTTTTCGGGGGGTTTTTTTGGGAAAAATATTTCATTTTTTTTCTGGTTTTCACAGGGTCCGTTACCTATACGTTGGATGTCAATCGAATCTCTGAGAGATAATCTACACACGATTAAATCAGATGTATGGTCCTATGGTGTATGTTTGTGGGAAATTGCTACTCTAGGTAAGATTAATAAGGAGAAGCTGTTATTCTGGGTAAGAGGAAGCCACGGTGACTCAGTGCGTAAGATACAGGCTCACTAACCAGATTTTGGGTCGGAATCCCTCTGTTGGTCGAGATAGTACCTTAAGATTTGTAACTGGTGCAAGGAACAGGTGTCGAGTCGTTCGAATGCGACGAAATAGCCAGATCCACCCGTCTACTGGTTGGTGCGCAGTAAAGAACCTCAACGGTTGGGTTTTGATAAAGAGTAGGCGGAAATACCGCTGTCGAAACATATATTTTCTCATCAGCACCACGCATGAGTTATATGGGTCTTGTTTAACCCGGTTGGTGCAGAAAAGTTAAACCTCATTTCATATTTCTATTTCTAGATTGTTACAATGCTATCTAAATTTATGTTATTTGTTAGGTAATATAGATAACATGTTAGTTCTCAGTACCGTACTTTACCGTATTTATTCTATTGTTGCCAATTATCACTAAAAAACAGATATAATCGTTATCGTTTGTTAACCTAGAATTTCTTTTGTCGCGCTGACTTATTTGTCAAGACGACACTATTCGTAACCTTAAAATAGAACCGAAAGATAACTGGAGGGTACACTTAATTGTCAGTAGTTTATAGGCACAGGTTTGGGCGATATGATAAAAGACATCATTGTCAAAATTTAAAATTAAGCCAAGTCGACATTCCTCTAGACGAACGTAATAATTACATATAGCACTCTGCTTAAATTCTGTTTCAGTAAGTATGTGTCCACTATAGTGTTTATTTATTTGGTCTATTTGTATTATTATTTGTTTAGATAATTTCCAGGTAAAATTATATATAAACTGTGCTTTTAAATAAAATATGATACCAAATGATTCAATATTACCGAAGAAAAATATTTGATTGCAAATTACTCTATGTACATTTTGCAGCGTCTCCAATTTTATAAGATAAGTACTCGTTCATTAAACAGAGACACATACGACTCTTTCATCGTTTCTCATTTTAGGAGCCAGTCCATATCCTGGCAAATCTGCTAAAATGGCCATGGAGTCAATTCTAACTGGTGACCGTTTAGAATGTCCAACACATTGTAAGAAAGAAGTGTAAGTAACCTAGGTTAGCCAGAAATACACATACCTTCAATATTTAATCTACAATTGTCCTTTTCTATGTACTTCTCCCGACAAGTAGAAGTTATTTTGTTGAAATCTTAAATTTTAATGTTCTTCACGGTCCATGCTGCAGGTAACTGCATGGCTACGTAAATAGTATTGATAAAATTCACATGGTTTCAAAAGCTACCTTTGTATTGGTTTCAGGTATGACATTATGGGAAGTTGTTGGGCAGATGACGCGACATGTCGCCCATCATTTGAAGATCTAATGTTCAAGTTAGAAGGTTTATTAGAAGACGAGGGAGAATATATGATGCTCGATAATTTTGATGAACAGGTGTATTCTGTAATCGACGATGTGCGTCATGAAGAAAGACTGTAATCTGTTTGGAACATTTTAATCAGTGGGAATAGTAATACTTGTTTAGTTCTCATATTCCAGAATAAAAAGATTAAATTCGCGAATAAATACAAAGTCTGTTTCTTCTGACAACCTGTGCTACATGATGTATGAATGCGTTTTTCTTTATTTATGTAGCTTTGTAATACATGTTTTTAATGTATGTAGTTTTGTAATGTTTTAATGTATGTAGTTTGGAATGTTTTAATGTATGTAGTTTTTTCTAAAGTTTTAATGTATTTGGTTTTGTAATGTTTTAATATAGTAATTTATAATGTATACATGAAAAAATTGAAATGAAATGGGGTTTAACGTCCTACTGTTCTGCTCCTAACCTGGGCTAATGAAGACGGGCATACGCCATACAGTGTGCTATGAGGGAAATTTTGCCCGGGCAGCGGCACTATCGCCTACTCTTATATCGAATTCCAACTGCCAAGGGATCTTTTACGTGCATTCCAATGTATACACGGGACCTCGGTTTTTCGTCTCATCCGAGGGACTAGACAGCTGTCCTTGCCAGGCCCTCCGTCCTGCATCACTGACAAGGGGGAACCACGCCGGAAAATCTGGATGAACTTTCTCGGCCAATACAGGGATCGAACACCCGACCTCCAGGATAGCGAGCCAGCGCCTTACCCACTTAGCCACTTGATCCGCATGTATACATGAAATATAAACCCAATCAGTTAAAAGACGTGAAAGATTAGTGAGATATCAATTCGGATATTCGTCAATTGCTACTTTAACTAAAATTAAATAAATAAATATATACAAAGATACACTATAATAAAATTACGGACCTTTAGTAGTGTCGGATTTTACATTGTAATAATCAATTCATTTATTTTATTCAAATTGCGGATCATGTGAATCTTGGTCATTTTCGCCTTTCCGACCTTCAGATCAGCCCTCCGGTCCTTGCGTTACTATCGTTGAAATGCAATAAATCTGACTTTATTTAGAAAATAAATGGGGTTTAACGTCGTACACGATTAGGCTTATTCTTTATTTAGATAATTTTGATAAAACCCGAAGTATACTTTCATTATCTTATTTACACGTCTAAGTTTAAACACCATTTCTGCATACTTCATTAGCCTACTGCAATCTGATACCCAATAACGCATGTTTGATTCACTACTGTAATCTGAGTGGTTGATTGTTTAAAAGACAACATCTTTATATCTAGTGAATGGGTTTTGATTTTAAAAAATAATAATACATGCCGTCTTATTGAAATTCATATTGTGGTTTCGGGGGCTTGTTCCGCAATTCTTTTAAAGCAAAGTAGCATTTATTTGCAAATTATTGGAATAAGTTAGAACATCAATGTTGTCAATGCATATTTATTTAGCCAATTGTTATGTTTTCTTTGGTCGATTATTCGAAATGCAACTCAACTCAAACTGAACTTGTATTCTTGATAACAGTATATCCTAACAATAACGCTAACTGCTTATATTTGATTAACGTATTGCAAAAACGTACTTCTTGTTGGCTGATTTTGATAACAATTGAAACAAACATCCATTGTATCAGTTTCTCGCATAAATTCGAGCTCCAATGTCATTTGCACGTATTTAATTAACCTACTGTAGATATCAGTGCCATGGTTATAAAGACTCAACTTCAATGTGACTGGCAGATGTACGTACTGTAGTCTATCCTTCCTGTAAAATTGTAATTCACTGATAAAATATTGGCAGCGGCAAAACAACTAGCCTGTTATCAATACGATTTGGACCAGATGCGAATACACCATAACGTAGATGCATAATATTCATAATTTCCAAAAACCAGAAAACACAAGGGACAACCAGGTTTTTTTTTCCTTTTTTTGTACAATTCGACAGTCTTTTAATCCATGTTTTCAAGTTTCAAATAATGCGCAGTATCAAATATTACGCTATTCCGTTTAATCATATTCCACCCAAATGTTGTTGACATCTTTAGTCATAAATATATACTTTAACAGTACATCATTTTGAAGACATTATTATCAGCAAAGCGTGACTTAAAACGCCAACTAGACATAAACCTTGGTCTATAAATTATGGCTAATTAACGTTCAGATAAGTAACCGTCATTGAAAATGAAAACAGGTCGGGACATTTTAAATGTTTCTTTTTTTTCCTGTGACGATTTAGAAAACGCAAAAGAACAACCATGATATGTAAATTGTTTATAGGCGTGTTTCTTACTTGTAGGATCGTGACCCACATTGGCGTCACAATATGAATTACAACAGGGCCTCCAAGTTAATGGGTTAACATGCTGTAATAAAATTCAAATACATATTCGTATGCCGTGTTTACCCTGTCGACGTTTGATGAAAAATCTGACCCAATTTTCCGGATTAATATGGGAAGAGGTTGGTAATGTATATCTTTTTACGGTCTGATGGTAGACATCTTGAAAATCGTAATTATTTACCCACAAAACCTCGCATGAAGCCATAATCAATAACAAGTTTATTTTTAAAAATAAACAAGATTTTAGTCCCAATAGATTATGGCCATTTGAATTGTTTACAGGATATTCTATTAATTTTACGCTGTTATCTGTATGTGACTGGTTTATTAAAGTAAGAATTTCGATATAATCCCCGCCAATTTTTGACACATGCATCGGATTTTTGTACATTACATTGTAGTAACAGTATTGTATGTAATATAATGCAATAATATCTGGGATGTTGCTCCTTTAGAGAGTCTTCTCTTTGTGATTTAGTCATTTCTGTTAAGCCTTGTATATTATTGGATGTCGAGAAGCCTAAACCAATAAAGTTGAGAAACAAAGGTGTGATTTTCCTCGAAGATTGTAATAAAGTAGGGTATTACTTACATGTATTCTGCTTACCTACAGCAAAGTCACAAAATACCCTTTAAAATACAGAGTCGTTCGTATACTTATCGTATTGAACCCAAGAGAAGCGTGGGAATCGCGTATTGCCTGCGTACAGCCAGTGTAGGTAAGCGTATGTCTTATGAGTGGCCTGTGTCCAGCCTATCGAGTGACAAAATGCCCATATCAGCGGCGGCCTTTCTACATTGCAGCAACGTTCGTTCGTTCTTGGGAGTTTTACGTCCACTTCCACCAAGCATGATATCGTAGACAATTGCAGCATCATTGCACTAGACGTTAAATACCTTATTCAATCGTCAGGCATAGGCCAAGATGTACCTTACATCTTCATGCCAGCGTATGACCAGCGTATTTGACCTATGAATAACGTACCTCTAGCGTCACTCTCGTGTATTCAGCATATGCCTAGCGTATTCTTGACTTATACGCATGCATAAAAAAAAATTCTGCCTCGCCGTATACCAGCGTATGCTACCGTAAGCGACCGTGCTTGAAACATACATAAAATATGCCTTACCTAGTGCATGTGAACGTATACCAAAGTATCAGTGATATTGTTGAAACGTTGGTATACGCTAGTACGATACACAATAGTGTGATAGGGCCATTACAATTTACTTAAAAGATAACAGTATCATCGGTGAGTGAAATGACATAACTCGACTTAAAGGATAATCACTCTTATATGTTTTAATGTTTCGACAATTCATCTTAGAGCATGCAATATGGATGGAGTGAGCGCAATTACAAATGTACATTATTATTATTATTATTATATAGTCCTTTATACCCATACAGATGAACCGATTGGTCAATACGTTCACGTTGTTTAAAGAAAATATTTCAGATCCAACATACAACAAGACAGATGAAACGTGTGATATAAGTCCATTCCAGTATTTGACAAAATAGGCCCTACTAAGTAATTAGTTTATAGTGCAAAACACCAGTTATTCAGCAACACGAGTATTTGTTCTTTCAATTCTTTAGTATTGGTAAATAAATGAACATCATTCGTCTTACGGTATACTAGCTGATCAGATACCAGGTAACCTTAACTGATTTCACAAAGTTACCAATCCATTATTTAGAACAAAAGCGAAGAATGGGACATTAGTCAAGATAACAACTACAAATGACACAGTTAATCGAGAAGTACAATAAATTAAAACAAATAAAGGATTTATGTATCATAAAATAAAACACTGAAAATATTAATGTCAGTTCATGCTTCGATCATTGTCGGGCAGTGGTAGATTTATGGGTTATCGTCCAGTTTAACTTGCAATTGACTAGTTTTGATATCAGTATTATTCATAGTCTGGGGGCCAGTCACCATGGATATCGACATAAAAAAAATTGTAGTGTGACCTACCCATAAATAGGATTATTATCCCTAGCTAGTATACTAAATCATTTATTTCAGTAAATAATTTCTAAATGTATTATCTTAACGATGATTCGGTGTGAATTTGAGTGACAAATGACCGCTAGCACCTTCGTTTACTTCTTTTATAGCTCTCTTCGCCCAAAGTGGACATCGTTCTGATAGGTGGCGCGTGATATAATTATTCAATATTTTATGTCCAATATTTAATGTCTAAACATAACAAAAAAAACTCACCATACTACAAACTACGCACCTTGTCGGGGTAATAAATTTGTTAAGTATAACTTTTATTCCTTAATTTCTGAACGTGAAGCTACGCGGTTGCTATATTCACAGAATATTTACAAATTTAACAAAATCTTTGAATTCATTGATTTGATATATTATGCGTTTGCTGTTTATCATTTGCAGTGTATTTTTATATTGTGCGTTCGCGAGTTTGCTTTTTGGTTTAGTATTATAAAGACCTATAGTAGATCCGCTTAATCATCTGGATTTTTCAGCTGATGATTCATCAGAATTTTACCACCCTTTGACGTGGGGATAAAATAACATACTCGAATTCCGACGACAGGTGACGAAATTAAGCATTCCACACCATACTAAACAGCAAAAAAAAACATCAGTGCGATTTCAAAATCAGAGAGGCACTTAAATCAAATCATTCTAGAAAGCGACTTACTAAATGTATTAAAGCAATTTTTTGTGAACAGTATGTTGACACATTAGTGATTAATTCATCACAATTCCAAGACATTACGAGAAGGTTTTGAGTCTGTACACAGTCTATACATCAGTATCTGGTGTGTGGTGGACACACCAGATACTGATGTATAGACTGTGTACAGACTCGCGGTGGGCGAGTGTCAATAACAGCAGCGCAGCGTCTGTACATGGAGTGGACCAGTCGATTGATGAACGCCATTGGCACCTGGAACCACACTCTCATCTCGGTACGACGTTATTAAGTCTCTTCTGAATTTCATTCCAAAGACGTTCAATCGGGTTTAAGTCCGGACTAAGGGCTGGCCAGTGCATAACGTTAACACCGTTCTGCTGTAGAAAGTTCCGAGTAACTCTGGCGGTGTGGGGGCGGGCGTTGTCTTGCTGGAAAACGTTTCGATGACCTGCGAAATGTGGTATGACGTGGGTTTTGAGCGCTTGATCGATGTAGCGCACTGCTGTTTTGCCGCCTCCTCTCCCTGGACCAAGATTTTGGAACACCACAGGACCCACTCTCTGGATCAGGCCGATTCTACCCCAAACCATTATGCTTGGACCCCCAAATGAGTCTCGTTCCATGACACATTGGTCAGAATAACGCTGGCCACGTGGACGCCATATTCTGGTCCTGCCATCTGCAGTTGATACGCAATACCGATTCTCATCTGTTAACGGAACAGTTCTCCATTGCCTGTGTCGCCAGTTCTGATGTTGTTGGGCAAACTGTAGACGTTCACGTCGATGGTGAGGGGTGAGAATCGGTCCACGGTAAGATCTACGGCAATGGATTGTCTCTCTTGTGAGACGTCGGTGCACAACATGACGTCTTGTCGCCTTGTGGTAACCCTTGGTCTACCAGTTTGGGGGCGATCATCCGTGGTGTTGGTGGCCCGAAAGCGTTGCTGAAGCCTGTAGATGGTCCGAACATTGACTGGAAGTGATTGGCAACGGCTTGGGCAGTGTGGCCAGCGTCGAGTCTTCCAAGCGCCTGGTTCCTCTGAGCTGTCGTGAGTCGTGGCATGCTTCTGACGTTGTAGTGTGAATGATTCAACCAGTGGTCCCAGTGAACAGAACGTGCAGCATGAGTTACATAAATATCATGGAGAACACATTACCATCTCAGAAGTCTGGTATCAGAGTAACATACCAACCTGGCGTTTCTTTTGCTGCTTAGTATATAATCAACAATGCTGGGAAGTCAGGAAGGTTAGTCCATATGAGTGATTCAATATACCGCCACGCCAATCTTGGGGATATTCAACGTATCTAATATTTACATACATTAGAGTCTGTCTCTAGGGTGGAAATCAACGAGTATATTTTACGACTTATTAAGACCGGTCACGACCTACATGATCTCTTTCTGACGTGTCATTGTGTAAAATGTTGTACATGGTACTTTGTGTTTGTAGAATGAAGTAATCATAAATTCTCAATGACGGGTAGATAGTGAACGGACTAAGATCTCGTGTGTGCGATGGTGTCCCTGCAATACATCTCGTACTTAGCTAAGTGATGCGTCTTTAATTTTTTGATTTGGGAGATTGTCATTGTGTCATCGGGGTTTTTTGTATTTTCATTCATTGTGACATCCGACTTGTGTGTTTACTGTGTCGACTTACACAAACTATGCATGCCATTTCGGGCTATTATCGTTTTGTCAGCTTGTCATACATCGTGACGTTTACCATTACCAAGATAAATTACATACGTTTTTCGAAAGAACATTATTTTACAACCTACCAAGTCACTCAATGAAGCATGGCTATTTGCAGCTGCAAAAATGTCCTTTATATGTGGACAATTTTATTCGGTATGTAACTGTTTGTTTATTTGTTTTCAAATTTATTAATCTTGGGGTAAACTGGGTCTCTTTTCCCGAAAATCGCCTAATTGATTTGGTTCTTCTAGCTTTGATGTTAGGTTTAATGGGCGCTGGACTCGACTAGGGTTTGGACCCAGAATACTATAGCAATCGTTTGCGATAGTGCATTGGTCTGCATTTAAAAGATCCATTGACTGCTACAATGCATTGCAGAATATAGACTAAAACGACGCTTTCCTGCTAACAGTTGACCAACGAAACATTGAATATGTTTTAGTTTCAGAATGATGAGGTAGCATGTGGTGGTATTTGGCAGATTTAGTTAGTACTGGATAAATCGTCTCGATAGAATTATTGTGTTGATTTGATGTTAATTCCATTCGTCCTGCTTCATGTTGTATACTGTAACCACTTTACTATTTGTTCTGTTTACTTTGAACTGTTTTTAGATATTCTCTTTTGAAACAGATTGTTAAAATAGAATTTGAATATGAATATATTTTAGTGCCATATGGTTTCTTTGTATACACCGTCTGAATTCCTTAAAAGAGTGTTGTCATTTTTTAAAAAATAGGAATGCATTTCCTTTTATTTTTCTATTTTAGTTTTGCTCCCAAATGTCAAGCTACAACAGAATCTTGCGCTTAAAAATTTCCTAACAATCCTAGCCAACACAAAGTCGCCAACATCAAATGCAGTGTCTCCAAATGCGGCTTCTCAAATTGCTCCGGTTTATAAAACTGATCCCATGTCATTCACAGTACAAGATAATGGAATACCAACTAAACAAGTTGGTTCCTTTATAATAGCATCACCAAATACTGGAGGTAGTTCCCCTGATAACCAGGTCGGAGGGTTTGTGCCTCCTGGAAATACTGGAATAATAAATAAACCAATCGATGGCAGTGAATCAAAGTATCCGCCCAGTGGTGGGTCGGGGACAACTTATCCAAACAATGGTGGGAGTGGAACGGGGACACCTTACCCAAATACAGGCGGTAGTGGAACGGGAATAACATATCCTAATACTGGTGGTGGTCCAACATATCCACCTGGAAGTGGAACAACCTATCCAGATAATCGGGGTGGATCAACGTATCCGCCCGGTGGTGGACATACACATACTGAAGGCGGTTCCCCATATCGACCATACCCGAATACTGGTTATCCATCACACCACCACGGGGGAATGTTTTCAGGGCACCTGTACCATGGTCCGAGTAGTTGGATGCACAACCCTTTCATGGCATTTGTGGATGGAATGGCACGTATCCATGCTTTAAGGAGACTAGGTTGCCGTACCATATCAGATATGTATCAGTTGGGTTTACCACCGCTCGCTTCTATATCGTGTACCCACATGTGTCCACCTTCTCATAGGTGTGTTCATGCTTCACAGTCCTACCACCACACCATTGGATTCTGTTGTCCATTTTTCGGTAAGTAAACTAAATCTAAAGAACATGTGAAACATTATTGATAAAGACACAATATTTAGCCTAGATTACGTGTAAAATTAAGCAACTAATGCAGACTTTATAAATGAAGGAAAACTGTTTTGAATGTTGTCAGCTATACATTTTACATAATCAATCATAAAAGAACAGTTCACCCACTTACGACTAGGGGTTTCGTAGTGGGTAGAAGTTTAGCAAGGTATGGTTTTGCACTATGGATTCATATCATAAAAGTTTACCCACCAAATAATATTAAAATAGTATGTAAATTATAACTATTGCACATAACTTGCAAGACTTTAGTGTGTCTCTATTTTATGGGCCGTCCCTCAAAATGCTTTACAGGTTCGCCAAATAAGAATTCTAGTTCACCAGCTCTGTCATGCTGCCCATTTATCAATCCTGCATATACCAAAAGTAAACAGGGTAGTTGTGATTCAAAATTATTTATTTTTCCAAGCTACAATTATTACACATTATGTAAATGTGTTTGTGCATACGAACCTTATATGATACACGATATTTTAATGACCAGTAGACAGGTCAACGCTTCCAACCATACACCAACGTACATGTAACTGTTGTTTAGGTTACATTTTGCTTTTAAATATATATTTATTTTGCAGTCCTGATTCTAAACTTTATACCAATTTATTGGACAATGTCTTAATACTAAAACCCTGAAAAACAAAATAACTAAGAAATACCTCAAGCCATTTAAGTCAACAGTGAAACTGAATCCCAAAATAAACAGATGACACTCATTAATGACATTTATCTTTTTATAAAGCATTATCTTTTTACAAAGCATCTATCAAAATTGTTTATCACTCTATATAACTTACAAATCTTCATCACCAATTGATTCAAAATATTAATGTAATAAAGAAACTATTTCATGCCCCCGCCCTCAATTAGAAGCACAGGAATTGCGTTCTAAAGTTCGTGCAAATCGAACTGCTAATCTCTGCTTAGCGTAAGTAAATGTTTTTCGTCGAATTGTCACTGTGGAATCGGATGTTAAATAAAGGTAGTTTCACACTCTCGGTTAAACCTTTCACCTAATAAACATCTACACCAATTTCGAACACTTTGCATCGACTTGAACCACGGTTATGATGTTCCAAAAGGTGTGACGGATAGACAGACACGCGCAAAGCTAAGCGGAAAAGTCATGATATGCGCCTACTGAACCCATTTTAATAGGCCACAGCTAGGAGAATAATACTAATATTAATGTAGATGCCAAAATGAAAGGAAAGTCAGTCACACCAATTATATGTTAACCAGCTTGAGGGTACCAACCATGCAATATCACCCACTGGTGGCCAAACAGTGGTTGACAATGTGTGTACTATTTAGTGGTTGTCCCCCTAAGACTATTAAAAAGGGTCCGTCTGTCTGTCCGTCACAGGGGGGTTGGGATGGCCTAGTGGTTTAGAGTGTCACGCTTCGTCCTCTGGTTTGCGGTTGTGGTTTCGATCCCTGGTGTGAGGTATGTGGCTTGGAGATAGGGGCGCCTTCTCAACCTCGTGGGTTTACTCCGGGTACTCCGGTTTCCTCCCACAGCAAAGACCCCTGAGCGTGGGCTAAGATCATTAAAATGAAAATAAAGACAACTTGTCTGCGATATCACCTTCGGTGGAAGCGGACGTTAAACACTAAGAACAACAACAACAACAACTGTCCGTCACACTTTTTTGGACACATAACGCTGCTTCTAATGAGCTAGAATATTCAAACTTGGTGTAAGTGTTCATCAGGGGAATGCCTTGACTACGATAACTTCGCTTCTAATTAAGTCACAGCAATACCTTGACTAAGTTCGATAACGAGCATTTTCGGTTCAGGTTAATAAGAGTGATAAGCAATTTGATTGGTCGGGACTTTGGGGCTCAACAACTTTGATTCTGATTGCGTGAGAATGGTGAAACGTGGCGTATATCATTACACGTTCACTGAGTTTGATAATGCACATTTCCTATAGTTCCATTACATCAGTAACTTGACTAAGTTCGATAATTGACATTCCTGCGTCTATTTTTGGGGCATAATAACTTTGATTCCAATTGAGTGCGGGAGAGAGGGAGAGGGGAATGGGGTTTAACGTCCACTCGACACAGACTAGGTCATTTCGGGACTAACATATGGTTTTTAATTTTATTTCAATAATTCGCTTGCGCTTATGGGTCTTTGGCAGTGGGAGTAAACCGGAGGACCCGGAGAAAACCCACGAGGTTGGACAGGCATCCCTACTCCTTGTCACGTACAACCGGGGATTCGAAACCATGCCATTTGACTCAATGACAGGCCTCGTGATACAGCGCGTGCTAACCATTCGACCATCCCCCCCCCAATTGAGTGCGAGTAGTGAAACTTGGTGTATAGTTTCATTACGCCAAACTCGGAATATAGTTTCAGTACATCAATACCTTGGCTAAGTTCGATGATGAAAAATTTGATTGGTCGAGATTTTGGAATTTGACAACTTTGATTCTAAATGAGTCAATAATGAGCATTTTCTGCTCACATTAAGCACTGATAAGCAAAATGATCGATGCTTTATAAAAAGGTAGATATACAATTTAAAAATGTGTGTCATCTAATTAGCCTACTTTTTCAATTTGGCGGGGGACATCAACTCACTGTTGACTCACTATGGCAATTTCAGACTGTAACCTTTTTAAGTTTTGTGAGTGTAGATGATATATCAGACTCGCAGAAACACAGAAAGGTTCCTGTGTAATTTATTCATTTTAACCTTTGAGTATTTTGTTCTCTCGTTTCAGTGGATGAGTATGTTATACAGTTTCAAACTATGATGGGTCGATATTCAGTGATGAACGAACACTTCTTCTAATAATAACAGATCCATTGTGTTGTTATTCTGTTACTGAATAAATTGTGCTTTAGGTTTGTTTAATGTGGATATTTTCTTTTTCCCTCGACAGTTTCAATGCATTGCAAAAATATTTTATACCAGTTTACCAATATTTTACCAAGATGTAGTTGCTTTAAAGGAAATGCTGTATAGGAAAAATAAATGATTACAAATAATTCAGCAGCTAAAAAAGAGAAATTTATTTCACTATCCATTTCCTCCTTCTAAAGTAGTTTAGAATTGCATCAATTTGCTTAATGCTGTTATAAGTTAATCTTGGCTCAGCGAGAAGGCACTGGCTCACTAACTAATAGGTCTGGGGTGCGATCACGGTGTTGGTCCCGAAAGTGTCCCGAAATTTCCGAATAGCGCCGCGCCCCGGGCAAACTTTCCCTCGCAGAACACTGACTGACGTATGCACGTCTTCATTAGCCCAGTCGGTGCTGAAGAGTAGGACATTAAACCCCATTTAATTAAAACTGTGGATGTATTTTATGTTTATGTATATTCTTCACCAGTAGGTTTACAAGCCTGGGTTCCCAACCTCTGGGTCGTGGGGTCGTAGCGTACTACCCTAAAACTTTTGGAAAAATGCTATGTTTTCATGAAAAGCATATAAATCTCTGATCTCTCCACCTTTTGCTACATTACTAATCGTCTTTTCTCAATTTTCATAAAGGTGTAAAAATGTAAACAATAAGTTGTCAAAGAAGTAAAACAATAATAAATGTAAGTAATGATTATGTTTCATAGTAAAAGGTGACTTTGTTCTTCGAGGAGTCGCGACCAGATGGGTTCGCAATAAACAAAAGGTCGGGAACCATTGGTTTACATTGTTTCAATGGCATTTAGCATCGGCGCAGGAGACCGCGTTCTCAGATTCTGTGAACCGTCCATTTTTCGGGCAATATATTTCCGTTTTTCGGGCACAAACATCAGAGAATGAGACCATATATCATAGAAATATAATTGTACAAGAAACCGCATGCGGTTTATGGTTTGAATACTATATATAATACTTAAGATCTCACGCAATAACATTTGTGGAAAACTCGTTTTAAATAATTAATGATTGATTCATTCTGAAAATTCGGGCAAATAGCCTCAGCCGCTGAGATTGGTCCCCTATGCCTATGGCATTTAGTTTATTACTAAACGACGCTTCGACTAGGCTTCTTTAGCATTTATAAAATATAACGAGAGAATATATATATACTATTCAAAAAAAGTAGGGGATATTTGATTTTTAAGTGTTATTAAAGTCACCTAATGAAACTGACGAAGAAACAAATGACAAAATGAAATGAAGTTCACATTCATCGATTTATTCCAAATGATCGTTAGACTAAGTAAGGCACAGACTGACCATTATAAGGGTAAAATGATACCCGGGGTCAAACAGCAAAGTTACCACAGCATCACAACCAAGTCAGTAACGGGTAAATCCTACTCTGTTTGCCAAACAAGCATTGATCCGACGTGGCATACTCCTAATGAGACGTCTAAGGTCATTTTGGTCCAGATTGTCCCATTCCTGTTGCAACGCAGCAGCAAGTTCTTGGACATTGGCAGGACGTTGTTGACGTTGACGTAACCTCTGTCCAAGCATGTCCCAGACATGCTCGATGGGGGAGAGGTCGGGACTCAGTGCTGGCCAAGGTAATGTGGTGATGTTCTGTTGTTGGAGGTAACCTGTAACGATCCTGGCCCTGTGACATCTTGCGTTGTCATCCTGGAAGATGAAACGGCGGCCATGACGTCGTGCGAACGGCACAACATGGACTGCCAAGATGTTGTCCCGGTAGTACTGGCCTGTAACACGCCCTGCAACAACATGTAAAGCCGTTCTTCCAGCAACAGTGATGCCTCCCCACACCATAACAGAACCACCCCCAAATCGATCATGTCTGATGACGTTAACGTCTTGGAAGCGCTCGTTTCGACGACGCCACACCCTCCTACGTCTGTCCAAAAAATCAACAGTGAACCTTGACTCATCTGAAAACATCACATTGCTCCAGCGTCGATTATCACAGTGTTGACGATCCCTACACCAACGACGTCTTGCCTGAATGTGATGATCTCTCAAACAAGGGATCACGCGAGGACGTCGGGCGCGAAGGTGACCCCTATGCAGTCGATTCTGAATCGTCTGGCCACTCACTCTCACACCAGTGTCTGTTTGAAGACGAGCGCTGGTCTGATTTGCTGTGATGACACGATTTCTCAAGGCCAAGGTACAGATAAATCGATCCTGGGCTTGAGTTGTCGCCCTTGGTCGACCTGAGCGTGGTCTGTCCTGTACAGATTGTGTATCACGGTATCTGGACCATAGCCTGCTTATGACAGACTGAGAAACATTCATCGTCCGCGCCACAACCGCCTGTGTTGTGCCGATCTGTAGCATGCCAAGGGCACGTAACCTTTCATTTTGGGTTAGCCGACGCATATCAAAATTTGTTTTCTGGTCACTAAAACAATTAAACTGATGTTTCCACCCTGGAATTCAATGCCACAATGACTGTAACATTCAAAGTCAGAGTCGTGCAAATCTTGGGTTGGACCCCCATGATGATCCCAAGCATCACCTGCATTCTATGCGGTAGCTATTGGTGCGTTTGGGCGTCACATGTAACTGGAAATGTTTCTTCTGTTAGGTTCTATAGTGACTTTTTTCGTAGTCATTTGCATATTTTAGTATTATGCCCCCAAAATCAAATATCCCCTACTTTTTTTGAATAGTATATATATATATGCAAAAAACACGACCTGGGTCATATATATCAGTAGTGACGGGTGTCGAACCATAGTCATGATATGTTTTTTATTTGGGAATTTCTCTTAGCTATATTGCTCACGACGCTAATCTCATATTGTTGTCACATTAGTTATTATTTGGCACACCCAAACATTTTATAACGTACATTATTCCGCCCGTCCCAATTTGCTTTATTTCCCCCTAATAAAACCGAAAATTCACAGAGATATTGAGTTGAGACTGTTTGACAACCAACTTCTTTCAATTTACTTATACTGTTATCAAATTTTATAATACTAAAGAGAATGTTTTGAACTGAGACTAGTAATTCTCCTGCTCCTGACTTCAATGATGTTATTCTTTATAATCCTAACGCGTTCAGCATGTCTAAAACGAATCTATATTTCCTGATCCACCCTTCTGCCTGAAAATCATGAATACACTTAGATTCTAGACCAAAGAGTTAACAAAAGGTGCCATATAAAGACGAAAATGAGAAAATGAAAGAATTACTAAGATACGTAGACGAACTACATTCGCCAGGGGAAAAAATTAATATTCTTAATCCACTTTCTTATTTTGATTAGTTGTGTGGCGCTCTATCGTCGTCAAACGCTATTGAACAGTAAGCCGTTAAACCCGACTTTATTTCATTTTAGATGCTTTTCTCTCAAGACCCATAATCGAAAAACAATATTTTGAAATGACTATATGTTTGATTCAATAAGTGTATATTTATTTCTGTAGATGTGAGTATCAAGTACGGGATGCTAACGTCGGACCACCCTAGACTAAATACTTCATCACATGCAATTACATACAAGCATATAAGATACATAAACTATGCAACTATCCATTTATACATAACCCATATATTTAATGGGTTACTGTAAAGCGTAGGCAAAAGGGGTACAAATCAAGTCAGCAAGTCTGTGTGCACCTCCGCAAGCAACATTGACGTACGCAAGGGAAAAGCTTCGTTTGTTGGTTCCTTCTCCACTCTCTCGGTGACATGCTGTTTCCAGTCCAAGGAGAATTTGCTGTTTGGGACCTTGGAAGATACGATATCCTTTTTGTCCCACAGTTGATCGATTGGTAACCGATAAGCAGAGAGGACTGGTCATTCGATCACTGTCACGTTGTTTTGGTTCAAGAAGTATACGAAGACGTGCTGTATGCGCTCGAGCATTATCATTAGTGTACGATCTGAAACAAGCTGTTAAGACGCCACCCATTGCCTTTCAGGCTTTGGCCGATCTATAGTGGGCCCTGTCTGCTGGAAACGATGGGGGGAGGGGGGGCGAATGGTTAGCACGTGCGCGCTGTATCATAAGGCCTGTCATTGAGTCAACTGGCGTGGTTTCGAATACCCGGATATACGTGACAAGGAGTAGGGTCGCCTGCCCAACCTCGTGGGTTTTCTCGGGGTCCTCCGGTTTCCTCCCACAAGCGAATTATTGAAATAAAAATTAAACCATACATTAGTCCCGAAATGACCTAGTTTGTGTCGAGTGGACGTTAAACCCCATTTCTCTCTCTCTCTCTCTCTCTCTCTCTCTGGAAACGATAGGCCGGTCACAGGATGGCAGCGTGATGACATAACCTTCGGTCGACGGAACCGATCTGGTACTCATGTTTTCTTGAAATAACGCCATGGCGGGTTCTCGGTGTCCACGTGTCGTTCTACAGAACTTAATGGAACATTACAATTTTATTGTAGCCTACAATATGTATGAAATAAAATCACGAAAGACGTAATATCAATATCACAACAATAGAAATGATATTACAACATAAGTTTAGATCAAAGCAAAGTCAGAAATGTATACACAACAAAAATAATACAATCTGAGAAAACAAAGTACATGAATGTGAACAGGTTCTATGAAGGAATTGTTTTTAAAATAAATGCTTCTTGATTTTAAAAACGGGGAGCGGAGCAGTTAGACAAGACCTACTATATATAAAGTAATTTATTCCATAAAAGAGGCGCATGAACATTAGGAACCCAGGGCAAAAGTAAAAACATCGGAAAACTTTAGTTTTAAAAGAATTTTATCATCAGATAATCTAAGGTTTCTACTGGCTTTATACATTTCTAAAAATTCAATTGTTTATACATTGAAAAATTGATAGTAAAATCTTAAAATCAAGTTTAACATAAATTGGTAACGAATGTAAATTTTAAGAGCTGGTGTGCTGTGAGTTCCACATTCCCATTCAGCTTAATTGATTATTTTATTTTGCTGATATCGGCCCTCATGCCGAGACAATGTTCGGCTGG